CCGTTCTGAGGAAACACATGGGTGTTCACATGGAGGAGAGACCATTTGGTTGTTACGTTTGTGGTAAACAATTTAAATCTGGTGCGAAACTTGAGCTTCACATCAGAGTTCACACGGGAGAGCAGCCATTTGGTTGTGATCATTGTGGCAGAAGATTTTCTCGAAAGTGTTACCTTCATAAACACATGAAGATTCACTCTGAGGAGAGGCCATTCTCCTGTGACGAATGTGGAAAGATTTTTAGCATTAAAGCAAAGCTCAAAAAGCACATGAGCGTCCACTCAACAGAAAAACAGTTTCATTGCAGCATTTGTGAAAAAAGTTTTAAATATAAGAACAATCTGAAAGAACACATGCATGTTCACTCAGGAGAGAAACCGTTTGTTTGTAGTATTTGTAGCAAAGAGTTTTCACAACTAAAAGTTCTGAAGAAACACATGTGTGTTCACACAGAAGATAGACCATTTGGGTGTGATGTTTGTGGTAAAACATTCAAACATAAGTGCAACCTTAAAGTACATAAACTGATTCATGTGGGGCACAGAGCTCATCGCTGTGATCAGTGTGGGAGAGGATTTTTAACCAAAGGTCAGCTGGGGGTGCATATGAAAATGCACACTGATGAGAAATCATTTACCTCTGATGATCATAATCACCATGTTAGTAGAAAGGAGAGTTTAAAAACTTGCACATCTAGTCAGCCAGGAGAAGAAAACATTTTACTGCATCATTTGTGAAAAAGATTTAAACATCAGTGCAGTTTAGTGTTCACGCAAGAGAAGAGTTTGTAGTGTTTCAGGACAAGAAAGTCTGGAGAGATGCACAAATATAGCAATAATATAAACTATTAAAAAAGAAACTCTATACAAGGATCTAAGATATATGCTAAACAATGATATAATATAATACAGTGTATTAAACAGCAGCCTGAACATGAGTTTGGTGGGAGCAGATGGGTATGAATACAGCCGCATATGGATGAGAAGTCAGCAGCACAGATAAAGTGTCAAATATCCAATTAAAGTATCATCACAGTGATTATTCTGGTTAGAGATCCATGAGTCTAACAGCCTCAGGGTAGAAGCTGTTCCTCAGTCTAGTGGTTCTACACTTAATGCTCCTCAACCTCCTTCCTGAGGGGAGTGGGGCAAAAAGTGTGTGTGCTGGGTGAGTGTGGTCCTTCATGATGCAGGTGGCCCTCTTCCTGCATCTGGAGGTGTAGATGTCTGTGATGGTGGGGAGACTGACTCCAACATCTTCTGTGCAGCCTTCACCACTCTCTGCAATAAGTATGTCAATACCTGCTGATTAGATATGAACTAAAACTTCTTTATTTATTAATTTTTAAATATCTAACACTATCTCATAATGAGCAAATCACTTTAGAAACAGAGTCTTTATTATTATACCAAAAGTGCAATGAAATTGTCATTGTTTGTTCGTTTGCTTGTTTCACCTTCCTGTCCGGTCAAACCCCAGCCGGTCAAACGGATGGCTGCTCATCCTGACAAGTGAAGATTCAACACAATCTGCTGCTTCCTTAGATCGAGAACTTTTACTAACTGTCTTTTATAAAGTCTGTGAATGTTTTTGTACAGCGCACTGAGACGACGTATGTTGGGACTGAATAGAATTGAAATTACAAGTTCACATTCAGTGTGAAGAGAGCATCTTACAAGATATTTTTCCACACACACACACACACACACACACACACACACACACACAC